GGCCTAATCTGAACCCTTACCCTAACCTACCGTTAACTTAATTATAACCTTATTTCTTAAATCATGTCTTGATCCTCAAACAGGCCTTTAAAGGGGTCTCAGAAAGTGGGGATCGGCCAAAATGTCCACACTTTACTCTCTTTTTCCTCACTCCAATGGTCTAAAACTCAAACCAGACCTCACAAAACTAGTTGTACAATTGCACACACACACACACATCTGGTCCACTGTCTTTGTGGGGACTCTCCATAGACGTAATGGTTTTTATACTGTACAAACTGTATATTCTGTCCCCTTACACTAACCCTATACCCCTAAACCCATCACAGAAAACTTTCTGCTCTTTTACATTTTCTAAAAAACATTATTAATCATGTTCATTAATCAATTTCCCTTGTGGGGACCATTGGCTAGTCCTCACAATGTAGGTGATTTCCCGTTTTACTATTCTTGTGGGGACATTTGGTCCTCACAATGTAATAAAAACAAGAGCACACACACACACACACACACACACACACACACACACACACACACACACACACACACACACACACACACACACACACACACACACACACACACACACACACACACACACACACACACACACACACACACACACACACACACACACACACACACAAAGCAACCAAGACAGAAAAACTAAATGTCTCCTCTTGATAATCAGATTAATAGTTAATAAAACTCAGTATTATAAATGAATGCAAATCTGTTTAATAAAATACTGTAATTTGCCAAAGTCCAAAGCGTATAAAAATGTGCAGGAGAAATGGACTGAGTGATATACTGTAGAGAGAGAGAGAGAGACTGAGCAGTGTCTGTAAACCCAATATCCTCTGTGGCCCCAGGGGCTGGGAGTGAACGGCCAGTGCAGGAAGAGATGGGCTGCATTATCCACATCAAAGCTCTGAATTATCAGCCATAATCAATGCGTTTGCATTACTGCCCCTGCTCTCCCACTGCACTGTACAGCACAGCAGGGCCGTGGGATCATCCGGAGAGAGAAGGCGAGCAAGGAAACCAGTGAAGGGGGAAATGGCATTAGTCTGGAGTGATGTCTGTTCTTAAAGTCTTTGTAGGTGCTGTGGGACACCAGGCTTTGGGCTGGACATTTAACGGTGGGCTTTAGGGTCTTGCTGATTGGTGACATTTTGGACAGGGTTTGTATAATTCTGCATCTCATCTTTGTAAATGTTGCAGTATTGTGCAAGCAATTTTTCAAAGCACTTGATCACAATTTTTGTGTGATCTTAAATAGTCTACTGGTGATATTACATTTAACAAATGACATTTTTGTGTACAGGATATGCACATCGCCAAAATTACCATTCTGCATTCTGAAATTAACTTTAGGATTATCATAGGTAGGATTTAAGAGGGAAATACTTTAATTGAATCTTTTTATCAAATATATGAATGAACCAAAATAGTATTCAAGCCCTTTCAGATATAATGACCTCATAGATGGAGGGGATGTCAAAAGCTGTCCTGTGTTACAAAGGAAAAGCTGTGGTTTTGGCGCCCTCTGGTGAATGGACTAGTGATTTCTGGACTTTATTTTTAAGCAATTCATTCCTATATTTTATGGTTACCAAAAACAAAAAAAAAACATTTTCGTTATTAAAAACAAAATAAACTTTAACTGAAATAAAATATTGTTTTTTAAAAAAGCTTAAACCTTTTTTATTTCAGCTAGTTGCCAAGGCAACATTTCACATTTTCATTTAGAAAAATCATGATCCTAACTTTTATCTCCATAGCGAAATCTCAGTTGGCCAGAGAGTGATTCGTCTTTTATAAATCTTTCAAATATTCAGTGTCCGGGACGCCATGAGGAGACTGTTAGTGTAGCGTTTTAAAATCTTAAACTTAAAAGTGTGATATGAATAAATAGTGCTCATAAATGGTTGTAGAGATTATATTCTCAATTGAAACGAATGGAGGCTTGGACCCGGAAACAGTATTCCCGACGTCACGACTAACAAGCCAATAGGGCTTTTTTCACACTGCGCTTAATCCCAGGTCAACGTTGGTCTAAAGATAGCTTTTAAGGAACGTTTCACATTTGTAATTTAGAAGTGGGGTTAGTACCATTTTTTACCCAGGGTTATGTTAACCCCGCATTCCGGAGCCAAATTTGTACAGTGTGAAATGATGTGGTGTTAGAATGTTACAGCTAGACGCTTAGCAACCATAGACTGTAAAAAAAGATGGATGACACACCTTCAAGGTGATGATACACAGGGTAACTTTTTGAGCAATGTTGCCGTCAATGGCCAACCAGATGAGACACAGGGCCCAGGACCGATCTAAATTATCCAGATAGAAATGTAGCTATTGCCCATTTTCAATAGGAAAGTACCCAAGCAACAATCGCGTGGCAAGATTGCCCAGCAACATTGCTCAAAAACTTGCCCTGTGTATCATCGCCTTCACTCTCTTCTATTGTAGAAAAGTGAAGCCGCCAATGTCCCAATATGGCACTGACATCTTGTGCTGATTACGCATAGACAGTAAAAGAGTGATTATGGTGTCATGAGAAATCGAGTCCCCCCCCAGGAATCGGGTCTCCTTTAGGACCCATGTGGTGCCTGATCAAAAGTTGTTATCGCGATGTCCTGACTTATTATAACCTATTTAACTACTGAATCTCTGAGCTGCTGTGAGTGAGTGGAGGCGGGGCTCATTTGCATATTCATAGAACCGCGTATAGGCCTACTAAATGAGGCAAGGGTGTAGAGTCACATTCAAGCTATTTTAAGATAAGAATATTTTTTTTTCAAGGAAAAAAGTTTAAATATGTAATTTTGGTGATCAAAGAAGAGTTTTAAGGGATAAAATGATTGACTACATGGGGACTTAGGGGAAAGCACAAACAATTAAAAGATGTGAAGTTTCATGCAAAAGAGATAAACGCTGCAGATGCAACACTGTTAAGTTAAAGCAGTTGCTCTCCAACACAAAAGATAAAAGATGTATTTAGTCAGGATATCACACATCAAATGTTCTTTACAGTTTAAGAGGACTCTTTCGTAGTTAAATCATATATAAAAATAAAAAAAAGTCTAGATATAACTTGTAATGCTACAATCTACCACTTGATGACATTAGAAACCACTTGGACTTGTCTTGCTTTCCAAATTTGTAATGAAAGTAAACCTAACTAAAAGCACACTCAACAATAATACTGTCCCTTCAAGTGTCAGTGTCTTATGAAGAATTTTAATTGTGTAAAAACACAGGCAGATAGCAGATCTGCAGAGATCCTATGTACCATGCCAAAAACAGACTTAGACATAGACTTTTAAACTAACAGTTTCAGACTATAAAACAAAAATGTTTATTGAGGTTTTAACGTTTATTAACTTTATTTAAAAACAGACAATGTTTACATAAGCTAAAATGAACCATTTGACAGATAAAAGTTACATACAGTATAGCTTTGAGAAATGAGCTTACACTAATCAGTTATTCCATATGCTATCAACCACTTTAAAGCAGTATACCCCCTCACCAGCTTACATTACATACTAGTGGTCTACCGATGTATCAGCCAGAGATATTACACTTTTTGTGTTTTTTTTAAATCGCTAGGAGGGTCCGACTCCTAGAGATGTATAACGATCTGCCATCGGTTGATAACTGTGTGTTTGCGCCCCCTTGTGCCAGTTACAATATCCGACAGCTTTGTAAACAGATAATGAGATTTAATTTTTACATTCTTGTGCTTCTCGTGTACGTTTTCTAGGCTATAAACTACCATTCAAAAGTTTGGGGTCAGTAAGACTTTTATTCAGCAAGTATTCATTAAATTGACTAAAAGAGAGAAACAACTTTTACATTTTTACCCAAAAAAAAAAAAAAAAAAAAAAAACTGTTCAAATAAAATATTGACTGTTTTCACCAAAGTATCCTGAAAATAGCCAGACAGACAGGCAACATGCATTACGGTTTCCACAACAACATTAAGCAGCACAACTGTTTTCAACATTGATAATAAGAAATGTTTCATCATATTAGAAGGATTGAAGGATCATGCAACACTGAAGACTGGAATAAATTACATTTTAAAATAGATTCAAATAGAAAACAGTCATTTAAAAATGTAATAATTCACAACATTTGTTTTTAATGTATTTTAATCAAATGTGCTATGAAGCCTGGTTGAGGTTTATTTTTTATTAAAAACATTAGAAAATGCTACTGACCCCAAACTTTTTGTATTTAGTGCAGTGGTTCTCAACCTCTCCTGCAGGGACCCCCTGACACACCATGTTTCTGTTTTAACCCTGAAATGGCACACCTAATTCAATTAATTGAAGGCTTAATGAGTAGTTGACTAATTGATCAATTAACTAATTCCTACTTCCTACTCTAATAATGACTCATTAAGCCTTTAATTAATTGAATCAGGTGTGCCATTTCAGGGTTAAAACAGAAACATGGTGTGTCAGGGGGTCCCTGCAGGAGAGGTTGAGAACCACTGATTTAGTGGGTCATCCTGCTCTCCAGATATCTGTCATTGAAAAACATGTATCGGTCGACCACTATTACATAATAGGCATCATTTTCTATATAAAGCATCAACTCTGTGGCATAAGAAAAAAAAAGAATAAAATTAGCATAATTAATGTACCCAAATGAATAAGAAAACCAGCAATCACCTTTTACATTACTGACAATGCTTAACTTTCATTCCAGCCAAGGTATATGATACTTGCAAGTCGTTTCTCTCCAAATATTTACATCCTTACAGTAGTGTTGTGGTGCATCATATGAAGAGATGACACACAAATATAAAAATAACTATCAGTAGTCACGCTATATCGTAATAAACAAGATGCTTCTGGAAGATTTTGTGCCATTAAATGCTGTGGTTGCTTCATACTTCATTTGGCATTATCCAAATCCAAAGCCCAAGCACTAAAAGTCAGCGCCACCGCCACCGATAGGAGCCACTGGGAAGAGGGCGGCATGCAGGGAGAGAGAGAGGGAATGAGATTCAGACGGGGAATCTTCTTCTTCCTGTTCATTCCTGTCAGAAAGAGACACTTCTTTAAGAATTGGTAACAAAACACAAATTCACTAGACAGTTTGGCTACTTGTGCATGCTGTATTTTAGTGAGAAACACATTTTTTATTCACTAACCACATGATAACTATCTCATAATTCTGGGTATTTCCCCGTCGGCGTTCATTACGGCTTGAGAATGCTTGGCAGTTTGTCAGATTTCAGGATTCGTTTCGTATTGTAGTAGTTTTGATAGTATTCCGAGTGATAAAATGTCACTCTGACATTCTTTGGAGTAACACAAATCTTTGCAGGAAACTCAATGGATACAGACACGCTGGCTTCCTTCCCAGAAAGTACGCCCAGCGATGAGACTTTGAAAAATTGCTTCATCCATTCTGAAAATATGATCCGACCACAAGATTGGTCAACTGAACACATTTTGTAAAGATGTTCCGGCACTGCTGGTGTCGATGTAAACATTCACTGGGCTGTATAGAGCACATGCTGCAGTTAACGTTTTATCTTAAAAATGATAACTGGTGCAAGAACAGCACCTTTTTTTTGTGGTCTTTGTGGTGCTTACTGGCAATTCTTTGTCTAAACAGAAATGTGATTAAATATGCATTCTGCTTTATTGCATCATTTTGTTTTTCCATCGGTTATTGTGTATAAAATAATGAGGTCACTGGCAAAAAAGCGAGTTCAATGACATCATTCATCTATGCCAGCAGTAGAATTTAGCATTGGCCCTCTACGCCAGGGAGCGATCTATTATTAACTAGTGAACTGTTCCCAGACAAACACATGCTTAAGATAAATGCTGTGGACAAGGTGTGAAATGATGGAAATTATGTGAAACTTCTAGTGCAACTGAAGAAAACAAATGTCGTCTTACCACTTTTTTCTCTCTTTTTGCATAAAAAAAAAATACAAGTACCCAGAATACTCTAATCAAAGTCAATGATGATGAGTGTACCCTACTACTGTTCAAAAGTTTGAGGTCGGTACAATTTCATGTTTTTTGAAAGATGTCTTATATTCACCTTATATATACATATAATATATACAGACTGACAAACCAACACATTATGACCATTCACAGGTGAAGTGAATATCATTGATGATCTCCTAACAAGGCCACATATTGATGTCTGGGAAGATTAGATGTTAAACAAACAATCAGTTTTGAGCATCTGTAGGATGTGCTGGAACAAAAAGTTCGACCAACGGCGGCTCCACCTCGAAAACTACGACTTGAAGGATCTGCTGCTAACGTCTTGGTGCCAGAGACCACGGGACACCTTCAGGGTTCACTGCTGTTTTGACAGGACGCCAAGGACCAACAGCATAGACAGGTGGTCATCGTGTTTTGGCTCTATATATATATATATATTAGGGGTGTAACGGTTCGGTTCGATACGATACACTTGTCACGGTTCGGTACGTTTTCGATATAGCAAAAAGAAATTTTCCTTGATTTCAACTTTTTTAATTATACTTTTATTAAAACTAACATCATAAAGTATGATATTTTTTAACTTTGAGCAATGATGGAGCTATACTTGAATTTTCTTAGGAGCTTATAAAACAAAACAGCTCCTTGGACAAAATGAAATGTAATATTGTAGTAGTTATAAACAAAGGTTTATTTTAGTTCAGATTAACATTTGAGGGCAGCAATTGTATTCATAATGTCAAAATAAACCGACGTAATGTTACTTGAAAGCATTATAGGCTACTATTCCTGCCAAACTTCCATGGTTACAGTTAGTAGTGTTACTACAGTAAATCCATGGTGAATGTTGCTGATCTGTGGATAGTTCATTCATGGCACAATGTTTCTTTCTGGTTTCCACGTCAGCGCTGTTTGATCCGTTAATAACGGAGAAATGTGAATTTTTCTCACTAGATCTCGCAGCGATGTTATTACTTCAGTGGCGAATACATTTCGCTGTGTAGTAACAGTGGTCCTTGATAAAGATCGGCTCGCGCTGCATTTGCCATTTGGTGTTGGGCAATGTTGTGGTCACGCCAGCGTCTCTTACATTATGAGCGCGCTTGCCAAGCGCGACGCGCCTACATTTGAAATGACAAAATTTTGGTCGGCAGGAAAAATGGTTCAACGAACCGTTCGGTTTAAAAATGCGTACCGAAAACCAAACGGTTCAATAGGAATACGTGTATCGTTACACCCCTAATACATACACTACCGTTCAAAAGTTTGGGGTCAGTGAGAATTTTATTTTTATTTTTTGGAGGAAAGAAATCAATACTTTTATTTATCAAGGAATAATTAATTTGATCGAAAGTGACAGTAAAGAGATTTATAATGTTACAAAAGTCTTTTGAACTTCCTATTCATCAAAGAATCCAAAAAAAAAAAAAAAAAACTGTACAACTGACAGACCAACAACTGTTTCAACATTGATAATAATAATAAATGTTTCTTGAGCATCAAATCCTCATATTATACTGATTTGTGAAGGATCATTTGACACTGAAGACACTGACACTGGTGATGCTGAAAATTCAGCTTTGATCACAGGAATAAATTACACCTTACTATATATTCACACAGAAAACAGCTGATTTACACTGGAATAATATTTAATACTATAACTGATTTTTGTTGTATTTTTAATCAAATAAGCGCAGCCATGGTTAGCAGAAGAGAATTCTTTTAAAAGTATTTAAAATCGTACCGACCCCAAACTTTTGAACGGTAGTGTATATATAAATATGCTGATTTGACTCGAGAAACATTTCTTCGTTGAAAATGGTGATGCTGCTTAATGAAGTGTGAAAAGTGTGTGTTTTTTTCACATTTTAATAAATAGAAAGTTCAAAAGTACAGCATTCATTTGAAATCGAAATATTTTGCAACATTATAATTGTCTTTACTGTCATTTTTGATCAATTGAATGCATCTTTGCTGAATAAAGTATAAAAAATAAATAAAAAAAAAACACTTACCGACCCCATACTTTTTAATCATAGTGTATGTTTGTAATATTAAATATAACAAATTATCCAATAAATTCAGAATTTAGCTTTACATGAGCATTTGTGGTAAAAAAAAGAAAGAAAAAAGTTCTGGCTGCTGTACCTTTAACACCTCTATGTAAACCTTTTCTAAAAGCTTTTTTTCCCCCTTCAAAATATCATAGAACATTTATGAACATTTATAATTTACACGACCCCTTTTTAGGTGACCATAGTAAAAAGTCATTTCTACACAACACCTGGAAAAAAGCCTTCCATTCCAACAATTTCAATCCTTACAATCTAGATTACTCGTGTGGTGACCTCGCCCGTCGTCTCGAAGACGATGGTCCTGTCCTCTTTAATAGGTGGTGTGTACTTGTAATCGTCACTCAGCAGACCCAGTAGAGGGTACTGGGTCGCGTATCTGTTCCATGGTAAGAAAGAATTCACAATATAACATTAGGACTGAATGCCAATTTAGTTTTCGCATAGTATTCAGACTATTCATACGTAATAAAAACACACACACCTCTTTGTAACGACAGTCTTCGTCGCACTGCTGGAGCTGTCAATCCTCTGCTGTCGGAGTCGCTTGAGCTCCTGAGAGTGAAAAGTCAAAGGTCAGAATGAAGTACTCCGGTATTGTACTATGACTTCACATTCCTCAAGTGTAATGAAGCTGAGGTAACGCAGAGACGGAAGAAACGAAAGAATGCCAACTATCAAGTGCTGTTCCTTACACTGATGTCCTCATTCAGTGATTTGTTTAGAAATAGATGTTGTTTTCATTGAACATGTCAATATTGTTTTCTGATATAATTCACTTCAGTAAATATCTATTTTTCCAACAAACACATCTAACAAAAAAAAAAAAAATTGCGTTGAGAATGAATGACTGAATTAACCTGGACTAAATCAAGGTGTATCTGCTAGTTCAGCTGCACCAACTTTAAACCCTAGTTTGTTTCCTTCTTTTAGTTTTACAGTAAACCTAGAACCTGTAATTTTGTTAATCCAGAGTTAAAGGTGACATATTATGCCCTTTTTCACAAGACGTAATATATATCTCTGGTGTCCCCAGAATGTGTCTGTGGAGTTTCAGCTCAAAATACCCCACAGATCATTGATTATAGCTTGTCAAATTTGCCCCTATCTCTTTAAATGCAAATGGGCTGCTCCCCGCCCCCTTTCCAGAAGAGGGCGGGGCTTTCACAGCTCATGCCTCTGATACTCCACAAAACTGGAGAATGTCGCGTAGCCAAAATGTCAGAAATGGTCAGTAGTGGTGTTCAGCCTTACATGTGCAAACCAGAGTCGGACACTGATGGACTCGGGAAGACGGTACAACTTTTAGAATGCAACTGGACGTTTCTGAATGGTTAGTGGATACATTTATGTAGTTGTTGTGGAGTTAAGTTGATTCAACTCATCGACTAGCATGCACCGTCATGTTAATCTAAAAATCTTTTAGAAACAGGTTTAGTTCAAATCCAGTGTTGAACTGACACTGGTTTTTTGAAGCAGTCAGGCGTAAATTTGCGCAAATATATAACACATTAACGACTTTCTTTGGCACATTTCCTTCGTAAATGAAATTCAACCACGGTGTCCTCAGTGGCTGGTCACTCTTATGTTTGTTGGTACATCCAATAACACAACATTTGTAATGTTGTTTTGGCACAGACATTGTAATACTCTAGCTAGCTGATACAGCGAGTAAACAGAAATGGCAGACTCTGTGCTTCTCACTCAGGACGGGATCTATGCTAATAGGGCAGATCGTCACCAGTCATGGGCGGGGTTTCACCCTATTCTTATATATATATATATATATATATATATATATATATATATATATATATATACACACTCACCGGCCACTTTATTAGGTACCCCATGCTAGTAACGGGTTGGACCCCCTTTTGCCTTCAGAACTGCCTCAATTCTTCGTGGCATAGATTCAACAAGGTGCTGGAAGCATTCCTCAGGGAGTTTGGTCCATATTGACATGATGGCATCACACAGTTGCCGCAGATTTGTCGGCTGCACATCCATGATGCGAATCTCCCGTTCCACCACATCCCAAAGATGCTCTATTGGGTTGAGATCTGGTGACTGTGGAGGCCATTTTAGTACAGTGAACTCATTGTCATGTTCAAGAAACCAATTTGAAATGATTAGAGCTTTGTGACATGGTGGAAGTAGCCATCAGAGGATGGGTACATGGTGGCCATAAAGGGATGGACATGGTCAGAAACAATGCTCAGGTAGGCCGTGGCATTTAAACGATGCCCAATTGGCACTAAGGGGCCTAAAGTGTGCCAGGAAAACATCCCCCACACCATTACACCACCACCACCAGCCTGCACAGTGGTAACAAGGCATGATGGTTCCATGTTCTCATTCTGTTTACGCCAAATTCTGACTCTAACATCTGAATGTCTCAACAGAAATCGAGACTCATCAGACCAGGCAACATTTTTCCAGTCTTCAACTGTTCAATTTTGGTGAGCTCTTGCAAATTGTAGCCTCTTTTTCCTATTTGTAGTGGAGATGAGTGGTACCCGGTGGAGTCTTCTGCTGTTGTAGCCCATCCGCCTCAAGGTTGTGCGTGTTGTGGCTTCACAAATGCTTTGCTGCATACCTCGGTTGTAACGAGTGGTTATTTCAGTCACTGTTGCCCTTCTATCAGCTCGAACCAGTCTGGCCATTCTCCTCTGACCTCTGGCATCAACAAGGCATTTCCGCCCACAGAACTGCCGCTCACTGGATGTTTTTTCTTTTTCGGACCATTCTCTGTAAACCCTAGAGATGGTTGTGCGTGAAAATCCCAGTAGATTAGCAGTTTCTGAAATACTCAGACCAGCCCTTCTGGCACCAACAATCATGCCACGTTCAAAGTCACTCAAATCAACTTTCTTCCCCATACTGATGCTCGGTTTGAACTGCAGGAGATTGTCTTGACCATGTCTACATGCCTAAATGCACTGAGTTGCCGCCATGTGATTGGCTGCTTAGAAATTAAGTGTTAACGAGCAGTTGGACAGGTGTACCTAATAAAGTGGCCGGTGAGTGTATATATATATATATATATATATATATATATATATATATATATATATATTCTTCACATATATTTCTTATACGAGTACGGGGAAAACCTGGAACCACTCGTTTGGAGAGAAAAAAATATGAATTTTTCATAATAGATCCCCTTTAAGTCAGGTTTAACTTAAAATTGCTCCTGAGGCATTTCTAGAATGAAAGACTGCATATTTACATAGCATGAAGAAAATTAAATGGTTCAAAGAGCAATAGCCTTGTGGGCAGCGCTCCGACAAATGACACAGAAGTGCCTCAGGCGACCTGAGTTCGAGTCCCGGCTCGATCCCGTCTCATCTGCACTGTCCTTTCTAATAATAAAGGCATAAAAGGCTAAAAATAAGGACTGCCTCAACTCATTGCGCTTCATGTTTTTTCCAGCAGGTTTCCAAGCTGTCAAATTTCAGCTCATTGGGAAAATGTCACATCGCATGGCGGATCTGATGACAAACGCATTGTGTGCTTGTTATAAACAACACTGACAGAGCATTTCGTGTCTGTATGAGGGCGTATGTTGACGTACCTCCTCCTGGTGTCTGATGACGCTTTCATGTTGCTCCAGTTTGGTCAGGAGCTCAGTGATGCGCAGTTCCAAGGTGCTGTCAGAGGTGTGTGTTACGGTGCGCTCGGTCTGGATTTTTATAAGCTGAGACTGGAAAAGAAGAAATACACATAAAATAGATAGTTCTGACTAGATGGGATGCATTTGAAGGATTCTACACTAACATTCATAAGTTTGGGGATTTTTTTATAAATGTATTTAAAGAATTATAATTGATTCAGCAAAGAGGCATTCAATTGATCAAAAGTGACCGTAAAGACATTTCTAAATGTTCTAAAATCTTTCTGTTTCAAATAAATGCTTTCTATTTAGCAAAGTATCCTGAAAAAAAAAAAATTATATCATGGCTTACACAAAAATATTGTTATCAGATATGATGATAATAATTAATATTTCTTGAGCACCATATCTGCATTTTAGAATGATTTATGATCATGTGTCACTGAAGACTGGATTAATGATGCTGAAAATGTACCTTTAAATCACAGGAATAAATTACATTTTAAAATATATTAAAACAGAAAACAATCATTTTAAATTGTAATAATATTTCACAATATTACATGTTTTACTGTAATGTTGATCGAATTAATGCAGCCTTGGTGAACATAAGAGAATTTTTTTTAAAAACATTTAAAAAATCTTTTTGACCCCAACCTTTTGAACAGTAGTGTATATTAATGACCCAAATTGTTTATCAATCATACACAGCCTACAGTTTGACTAATTAATTACATTACTGAATGAAATAGTTTGTCTCTTAATATTTATTGAACATTTAGTCTTTATCATACTAGTCATTTTATGGGATGCTTATAAAAGCAATAAACAGCTTTTCCATACTTGTGGGCCAAGTGGGTTTTACCTAAAAACATAATTTCATACATTCAGGGTTCCCACTCTTTTATATGAACACCAGATTCAAGGACTTTCAAGCACTTTTTACTTTATATCAAACACAATAAAGGTGGGTTTGTTCCTGCCAATCTGAACACTATCAAAGACCTACTGTACCTGTGTCTATCATTACTGCAGTATGTTAAGGCATATACTGACAACTAAGATTGTCAGTCAGGGGCGGAGCTAGATTCTCAGTAAAGTGGGGGCGGAGCTTCATCATGGGGCCCTCTGCTACCAAGTCATTTTAAAATTAAAACCGTAAAAAAAGTCAAATATCTGATGAATGCATATGTAATAATGTGTCACTTGTTGAGCCAAGTAAGCTTGTTAAATATATGTTATGTTAAATAAAACACAAAGGCTATCTCGTTCTTTTCAGAGAACAGTCTGTTTTCTTTCGCTTTGAATTGTTCTGTAAAAGTACACATTTCGAGCTTTCTATAGATATATTTCTCAGGTGTGTGAGGCAAGTAGGCTACCTTATACGCTGAGTTTCGGTTCATTAATGAGACGAGCTCCAGTTCACGCGCCGGCGCCTCCGTGTCGTGATTATCTATTGTCTGCTATATTTATTCTTATTTATTAAATCCAGACAATTGGTTGATGAAACATTGATTAAAATTAAGATACAATTAATACAAAACGAAATTCGCCTTAATGAATGGCTTTGTACTTTATGTTTGATGTCTCTGGGAAAGTTTTAAAGTAGTCTTTCAGTGCCGCTTTCAGAGCGCTCACGTCCGTAACGGGTAACTGTCACGTAACATTGTTTTTCCCTCATAAATGCAAACACGAAAAATAAAAATGAATATTTTGTTCTGTGGAGAGCCAACCCTTCTTCATCCGGTGGGTAGTATTACTTTTTGTACTTTTGCCACTACAAGTTAAAGTTTTTTTGTGTCACGTCCGTTACGGATGTGTATTTCCCTCATATTAAATATAAAACGCATGTGTAGACTAGACTGATATTTTTCTAATGTCTGGACTCCTTTATTAAGGAGTATGGATAAACAGGCGTTTCAATATATTGGTATTAAATGCATTTTCTGAGAATTTACATTTCAAGTTTTTTTTTACCTCAAATGTCACTCCCATAACGCTGAAATTATCCTCAACTAGTTTTGTGGTGTAGGTCTACATATTTTATAATGTTTTATAAACTTCAAATAATACTAATAGTAATTTAAAGATGTGGTAGCATTGGATCTGGACGGGAAGGATAACTCTGGGAGTTGGAAGGGGTGTGTCGCGATTCTGCCTTCTCACACACATTTCGTTTCATATCGCATATCAGCCATCATTTCTACTAAAGAAAATGACAAAAATAGTAACGCACAGTAACTTGGATAAGTAATTTTAATCTGATTACTGGTTTGGAAATAGTAACGCGTTAAATTACTTGTTACTGAAAAAAGTTACCGGCATCACTGCTGGCGAGGGCCCTGTTCCTGTCCAGTGACGCAAGATCGGCGGTGTTTGAGGGGCCCCTAATTGGCACGGGGCCCTGGGGCGACCGCACCCAAGCACCCACGCTATCTCCGCTACTGTTGTCAGTATAACAAACAGTACAACAAACTTAAGGGGCATATGACTTTTTTTTAAATACATTGAGGAGAGAGGTAGAGTGTACGGGAGAGAGAGAGAGAGAGAGAGAGAGAGAGAGAGAGAGAGAGAGAGAGAGAGAGAGAGAGAGAGAGAGAGAGAGAGAGAGAGAGAGAGAGAGAGAGAGCGAGTTTGAACGAGAGATGCCGTTTTCAGCTTTATTGTTCCTGCTTTTAACATTTTACACTGATTTTAGTTTTTTTATGAATAATCACTTGATTAAAACGTTAAAATATACATACATTTTGCAATTAAATGAAATTGATATGGACAATGTAATTGTTAGGCATTCAAAAAATATTCAAAATAGTGTACATGATATCTGCAGGGTTTTTTAAATCAATTTGAAGTCTTTTAAGACCTTTAAGACATGCACAAATAAAATTAATTGGGGGAGATCAGCGTTTATGCAACATCCTAAACCATAAAATGACAAGGTTTGACAAAAACAAATATTTATAAATATATAACCTCACATTTCAACCCATTTTTTAAGAAAAGGGGTGAGCCAAAATTATAAATATTAATTTAAAATACAATACCATATATATATATATATATATATATATATATATATATATATACATATACATACTGTATATAATATTCTAAATACCTTAATATTCTACATTTTTTGAAAAGCACATTAGCTTTTTATCAATCCACTGTGTGTAAGCGGTGTAAAAATATGGGTCAATCTTCACATTGGTCTGAACAAAAATGGAAGACCCACTGAATGAAAACGCAAATTCAATCTCTGAAATGCTACTTTTCTACTTGAGCTACTTGTGGAACAGCAGAAATATAGCAGTTACCCCGGTTACCTTGATAACCATAGCACTATTTTATAAACACTCCTGCGCTTATAAACACTACTTTATTAGGGCATTATTAGTTGGAAATCTGATTTAACTATTTTATGTTGCTCAATACAGAGCTAGTTTAATATCTTCATGCGTTTATCATGCAGGGCTGCTGCGCGTGATCACGATCCAAGCACTCACAACGTTTTTTTTTTGCAGTTTTTTCCCACTTTTCCCCCCCCAAACAGTAGTGCTGTTTCTTTCTGGCATCGGCAGTGTATAAATGCCATTTTTTTGTAATAGCACCATGCTACACACCAAATTTAGTTTAGGTTTAATTCAAGCACTTCCAAGCACCTATGTCCTTGAATCCATGCGTCTGAAATTCACGAGTTCACACTTATAAATAATTAGATAGAGTAAAAGAGTATGCGTATTTTGCCTTACGTCCGAGGGAGGGCTCCGAGCTTGGAATGTGGCCCGAACCCAGAGTTCTCCCCCGTATCCCTGACTGGGATAGGAGCTTGCCGAGAGTGAGGAGTCGGAGGGAAGCAGAAAAGACAGTCGAGGAACCAGGACGATATAAGCCTCCGATCGTAATGATAGGCTAGATCATTTGAACATGCTCTTTGTTGATAAAATATCATTTCAAGTACTTTCAAGCATGGGAACCCCCAAATTCATCAACTCCTTTGATTTCTTCCTTATTTACCCGCATGTTCTGGAGCTCTCTGTCCTTCTCCCCCCGTAGTTCATTCAGCATCCGTTCATACTCTCTAGACAGCTCCTGTGTTTGGATTTGGACAGTGGAACTACTGCACTGCCCTGTCAACTGCGGAAGAGATACCAGTAAATGCAGACAAACATAAAAAGGGAAGACAAAAAATACAACCCTAGAATCCAGTATAATGTCTACTTTCCTATTTTTGAGCATTTTACAAACTACAAGACAGCATTATTTACTGTTGTACTATATAATTACCAAAGTAAATACTGAAACATAATATTATAGCATGTATAGTGAGATTGGACCACCCACAGTCTACAAAGAAGAAGAAATTATATTTTTTTGCAGTGTGAATTGAGTGATGAGTTTTAAGGTCCATGAACAATGTTTCTCTTGTGTTGTCTTTACGGCACACTTCACTGCACACACACATGCAGTGTGACCAGTGTAGTTTGCTTTACAAACGTTTGACTGGTTCTTTTATTGAAAACTTTAGTGAATCGCACCGTCAGAGCGGTGATGGATGTGAGCCACAAGTCATCATCATTTTCATTTATATCTGATAGGAAATAACCTGTTCTTGTGAGTCATGTGTGTTATGTGTATAATAAAGGTTTTTGACAAGGCTTACATGCACTTTCACAGCTGGTGTTTGTAATAAATGATATTTAAATAATAATTATATATATATATATATATATATATATATATATATATATATATATATATATATATATATATATATATATATATATAAAAGTTTGTGTTTACATAATATATGAGTGTATGGTGTATAATTATTAAACTGCATTTTGATGAAGACCCTGAGGTTTGCCCACCTTCTTCCTGAGCAGCTCATTCTCCTGCTCCAGGGCCCTCTTGCTGCCCTCCAGCTCTTTGATGCGGAAGTCTTTGCTGGGGTCTTTGCTCTGGAAGGTCAGTAGCTGACTTTCTAGAGAACGCTGAGCACTGTTACTTTCCTTCACAGCCGCCTAAGAGAAATTGGAAATTAAAGATCTGAGATAGATATCTAATAACATGCACATGTTGTTAGTTGTCATCATTAAAGGGGTCATGACAAGTTTTTTGCACAAAACAAAAACAAATATAAGTGTGGAAAAACTATTATTTTCTGTATATTATGCATTGTCTGAAATTATACGTTTTAAGGGTAGTGTAGAGAGCGTCATTGATTATAATGGGTTCTGTTTGCCTGTGATGTGATGCGACGCAACACTCGTATCCAGTGTAGGCAAATGTCAGTCGTTAAGCGACTGAATGCCAGTGGGCGGGGCCTATGGTGCGATGATGTAAAACTATTCGTCGATGTCTTGCTCTGGAGGCAGGCATATACAAATCTATTTGTCTTGATTAAAGCTCCAGTAGGGAGTTTTGAGAAAACGTTGACTTAGCCTGAAAATTTGAACAAGCAGAACTTACAGGTCCCACCCCCTTGCTCTCTGCTGCGCTACAGCCCTCCCTCCACAGCTCGTCCTCCACAGCGGAGCCTGTCGTGAACGCGCAGGCTAGTAAACAGGGCCACCGATGACGGCGGATAAAAAGTTATATGGCACATTCACTAATAGGGACTAAACGTCAACAATATGCTTTACATTGACTATGGCCTGCCCATACTTTGACTACAAACTTGGTCCTCAAATCATTATGTATTTTCCAATAGCCTACATGTAACTTTATAATGTTGCACTCTTTCTATAAGTTATAAATAGCTAGTAAGATAACGTTAATATAACGGTAACTAACGTTACAGTATGTAAGTAATTATTCTAGCGATATATAATGCTAGATAAAGGTGTGCTAGGACATTATTTCAGCAACATGACAAGCCAGTGAATTAGCAGGTTTCAATTGTTGGTTAGCAGAGTGCGTGACATTTTATCTACATGTTATGCGGCTAGAGTTTTGACACCGAGTCAATGGGCTCTGTGTAATTCTTTCTTTTTCGCTTGTTTATCGTCATCAGTCTTTTTCCTTTTACCTCTTTGTTTTATGAGCAGGTGTCACTCGAGAATTGGCAGTTTAAGTTGTTTCTCCGTCATAAGCACAGCTGCAGCACGCCGGCAATCTTGAGTTTGAACGACGGCTCGCGCTGTGCAAGAGAGGGGTGTGATCAGCGCGTACACGAGCGTGATTGACACTGCTAAGACATTCCTCCTGGCTCTGATTGGTTGTTTCTGACCGGGAGCGTGTATTTCTTGCAAATGGCAATAGGACCACTGTGAGGAGCCAGAGGAGCTTGATTTTTACACAGATTATCTGTCTCATATTCTACTGTCAGGACATAATGACAGTTTTAGCAAATACATTTTTTCAAAAGTTACCTACAGCAGCTTTAAAGGGGACCTATTCTGAACCTTTTTACAAGATGTAATAGAAGTCTCATGTGTCCCCAGAGTGTGTCTGTGAAGTTTTAGCTCAAAATACCCCACAGATCATTTATAGCATGTTGTAAATGACCATTTTTGAGTGGAAGGAAAAACATGCTGTTTTCGTGCATGTATCTTTAAATGCAAATGAGTTGCTTCTCCCCACCAAGCTTTCCAGAAGAGGGCGGAGCCTGTACAGCTCGTGCCTCAGATACTCTGCCAAAAACTAAAACATCTGTTTGGTTTTGATTATCATCTCTATCGTGGTCACGCTCACGTGACATTGCAGTTCTTCATCATCATGAAAGTTTATTATCTGCATGTGTTTTAAAGCCATATCAGTCTAAACTTCTGATATATGTTTTTCCGAGCGCACACATCCGAAGCTCGCGCACAGAAAGCTGGATGTCGGACGGCGTCCTGTGAGAATTAAACTAAGTTCTCTTTCACGTCTTATTGCGCTTAAACTGTTAAATACACACAAGGTTATGTCAAAAACACACAAAGTTCACATGAACACAGTCGGTTATGTCTGTGGATGTAAACAGCAAGTAAAGAAATCACATGTGTATATTAGATCCGTGTATTAAAGTGACAGCAGCGTAATATACAGTACCTACTGCTATATATGCGGTTAATATAAATCAAACAACAAAAGAAAAACAGAAATTCACTCACTGCTCTTGATTGAACAACTTTAATAGATTTAATAAGAATACATTTCTTACTTATGCTGCTGTTAAATTGTTGCATTGTTGACATGAAGTGAAGTTTTATGGTACCTGCAGTTGTCTGCATTGCTCGCGTACGTTCTCCAGTAGTTTCTCATATTGAGAACCTTGATTTTTCTTAAAGCTCAGTTCTTTCTCCAGCTCATCCTTCTCACTCTCCAGATGCTGCAAATAGACACAGGTAATTCAAATGCAAGTTCCAACTAACCATATAATTGTGCATGCTTGGTAAAAAAAAAAAATGCCTTAGATTTGTAAATTCAGTAGATCCTAGTCAAATTATATGCTAACAGGTTATATCTTCAAAAACCCTCCACAAACTACAAAATGGTGACTCTTATCACTGTCTGGTTTAATTAATTAATGAATTTATTTATTTTTGCAATAATGACCAATGACCAATAATGTACATTACCACTCATTTTAGAGCTAATCACCTTTGAGTGCTTACAAGTTTTATTAAAAGTAAAACTTAAGAAGAAAGTTTTACAGTTTTTATTTTTATTTTAAGGTGAAATATTACAATTGTAATAATAATAATAAACAACAATATTATTATTATTATTCATATTTTATAGTCATGTTAATTATTGAGTGCAATAATTGATTAGATTGTTTCCCAAATCATGCAGCCCCAGTCATACCATAAAATATATAACATCAGAATGCTACAACTGACCAATCATGATCAGTCAGATGTCACACACACCTGTAAGCATGCATTCATGCACAGTGCATTCAGTGCAATCCCTTCCGTATTTCTCAATCAAGTTTGCAATTTCTCACTCAGTCAAGAGACTGCACACAAAGCTTTATTATAAGCAATTATCTTTTTTTGATTATTTTGAGTGGATAATTAGTGAAAACACAGACACTGACGTAGTTGGTGTCTTCAGTAGCTGTTGGCTGCTCCATTTTGGCGTACCAGTTGACAAGATGCTGCATGTATTTGTGATGACCTTGTGATGGTTCATGTTTAACTGAGCAGAAGCTTTGTTCAGTCAAACAGGAAATAACCTCTTGCTATACCAACAAAGCAGGTTGGCATTTTGTGATATTCTTTTGGTATACTGTATCACAATCTGTATTTGCAGAAGTAAGGTGCATATTATTATATTATGTTATTATATATGAATGTTGTTTTACCTTTAACAAAATAATGCTACTATAATGTTAAAGGGCTGGGGGCTGTTGTGTAGCTGTTACATCATACCATTGAATCTGTGTATACACGCATCACACCTTGAAAACTACAAGGTCAGCTGAAAGCTGGATTGTAAAGCAAACGCACGCCCATGAGGCAAAACCTGATATGTTTCATCATCACATCTACTGCTTCTGCAGGACAAGAGGCTGTCCGATGGTTTAGTGGTAGAATAAATCGCACTCACCCTCAGATCCTCCTGCATGCGCACTAGTTCCTCTCGCAGACTGCTGAATGTGGCCATCAACAGACGCATGGTCTTATCAGCAGTCACACGAGTCTACATGAGGGAGAGAAAGACATTTACTTTGTGTCTGAAACTACTGACAGCTAAAGTGCTTCATATGTATTGACTGTTATATTATATTATATTTAGTGGTGTCAAATCGATTAATTGGGATTAATCACAGCTAACATAAACGTTTTTGTTTATATAATATATGTGTGAATCTACAAACTATATTGCCCAAAATTTTGGGTTGCCTTTACATGCACATGAACTTTAATGACATCCCATTCTTTAATCCGTTGGGTTAAATATGGAGTTGGCCCACCCTTTGCAGCTAAAACAGCTTCAACTCTTCTGGGAAGGATTTCCACAAGGTTTTTATGGGAATTTTTGACCATTCTTCTAGAAGTACATTTGTGAGGTCAGGCACTGATGTTGGATGGCTCTCAGTCTCCGCTCTAATTCATCCCAAAGGTGTTTTATCGGGTTGAGTTCAGGACTCTGTGGAGGCCAGTCAAGTTCCTCCACACCAAACTCACTCATTCATGCCTTTATGGACCATGCTTTGTGCACTGGTGCGCAGTCATGTTGGAACAGGAAGGAATGCTGAAGCATTAAGAGTTCCTTTCACTGGAACTAAGGGGCCAAGCCCAACCCCTGAAAGACAACCCCACACCATAATCCCCCCTCCACCAAACTTTACACTTGGCACAATGCAGTCAGGCAAGTACCGTTCTCCTGGCAACCGCCAAACCCAGACTCGTCCATCGGATTGCCAGACAGAAGCGTGATTCGTCACTCCAGAGAACACGTCTCCACTGCTCTAGAGTCCAGTGCTTTACACCACTGCATCCGGCGCTTTGCATTGCACTTGGTGATAGACTCGGCCATGGAAACCCATTCCATGAAGCTTTCGTCTACACACTGTTCTTGAGCTAATCTGAAGGCCACACAAAGTTTGGAGGTCTGTATTATTGACTCTGCAGAAAGTTGGCGACTCCTGCGCACTGTGCGCCTCAGCATGCGCTCAAGAACAGTGTGTAGACGAAAGCTTCATGGAATGGGTTTCGTCTACACACTGTTCTTGAGCTAATCTGAAGGCCACAAAGTTTGGAGGTCTGTATTATTGACTCTGCAGAAAGTTGGCGACTCCTGCGCACTGTGCGCCTCAGCATGCGCTGACCCCTCTCTGTGATTTTTACGTGGCCTAACACTTCGTGGCTGAGTTGCTGTTGTTCCCAATTGCTTCCACTTTGTTATAATACCACTAACAGTTGACCGTGGAATATTTAGTAGTGAGGAAATTTCATGAATGGACTTATTGCACAGGTGGCAACCTATCACGGTACCAGGCTTGAATTTACTGAGATCCAGAGAGCGACCCATTCTTTCACAAATGTTTGAGGAGCAGTCTGCATGCCTAGGTGCTTAATGTTATACAACATGGAAGTGATTGGAACACCTGAATTCAATGATTTGGAGGGGTTTCCCAATACTTTTGGCAACAGTGCATCTTAAATGAATAATCACATATATTAACTTTCTTTTTGGGGGGGGGGGGGGGGGAGCCCCCAACTGAATTTACAGTTTAAAAAAAAACAGAAAATAATGACAGCACTTAATCTAATCTAACTTGCTCAAAGTTGACTGAATATCCAAAAATTGACTGAAGATGAAGCAAATATCTCTTTTTATCAGACTCCCAGCTCAAACGATGACTGAGAGGCTACATTGTGCCTGGAGGAACATGTGTTCCTGGGACAGGTTTTATGAGCTAATAATCTGCTGTCAGGAGAGGCGTCTGAGGGTGGGGTGTACTGAGAGGTGGGTAGGGCTGAGTGGAAGTGGGCAGGGCAGTCGTTCATCATGTGCGCTAACCTGCAGCAGGTAGCGGATCTGTTGCTTAGTCAGTTCGGACACTCCTTTGGGAATAAGACTCTCTATTTCATCTTTGTCCACCTGCAAAAAACACACATACAGACAAACAATAGTTTAACAAGTTCATCATATATATTCTTTGACCAAGAGCTGCAAGAACATTTTCAACAAAAAAAAAATTCTTCCAAAATATCATTAATTATTAATTAATAAATATGTTTTTGGGAAGTTGCATTATATGACATTTTATATTTTTGTAATATACATATCTTTTCTGATATCAGGACAGGTCTTTCACACTGATATTTTTATTTATTTATGCCCCAATGAAAACGTCAAAAAACATTCTCATAATAGTAGAGGTGTAATAAAGCCACTGTGTGCATATTATAAATTGCACTTTAAATTTACTTTTGAGGGGGGTGGGGGATGGTACTTGAAATCCTGTATGCAACATGGAAAACTTTTAGCCAACTTCATAGGAACTGAACAATCTGCCACTCCCTACCTTGTAGTCAATGGTGGAGTCCAGAAGGTGTTTCCTGCAGAGACGGAGAACAATATGAATGAGTCAAAATCACAAAAAAAAAGCCTTAAAGCAGGGGCATCCAGAGCTGTTGCTGTTCTCACAATCATTTCTAAGTGAATCACTAGATTGAGCCTTGCTCTTAGACAGCTTTAGACAAGGCGGAGAGGTTTCAGGTTTTTGATCACTCTAATGAGTCATTTGAGAAAGTGGCTGCAGATTAGGTGTAGAGATGAGATTTTATTTTGGTCTGTAATAGGTTTTCTCAGTGTTATAGGGATAGTTCACTTTGAAATTAATTTTTGGTATGTTTTAGCTTACCTCAAGGGCATCCAAGATGTAGGTGTCTTTGTTTCCGCAGTAGTTTCAATTTGGATATTTTTAGGTCAAACCGTTCTTGTCTGTCAGTCATATAATGCAGGTCTATGGTCACCACCTCAAAGAGCATGCACAGAGAAGTCCAAATTAAACATGATTTAGTGACTCGTAAATGTAAGTACACATTGATGGCCTAAGACACGAAACGAGCGGTTTGTGTGAGAAAACGAACAGTATTTATATCGTTTTTACCTCTTGTAACCACAGCCACGTCCAAGTGATCTGAGGGCGCGGGCGCTTCGGTCTCCTCAAGCGGTGGAAGTAAATAAATATGGTTGTGAAAAAAATTCTGTTGATATATCGAAATCGTCTTCCATTGCGATTTCCTGTATATCTAAATATGTTTAGATCTTCACAGTGAAAGGTAACACTTCCAGAATCTCTGTGTAAACAATGAGTGACGTACACGCGCGAGAGATCACTTCCGGCGCTTTTGCAGACCGAAGCGCCCGCGCCCTCAGATCACTTGGATGTGGCTGTGGTTACAAGAGGTAAAAACGATATAAATACTGTTCGTTTTCTCACACAAACCGCTCGTTTCGTGTCTTAGGCCATCAATGTGTACTTACATTTACGAGTCATTAAATCATGTTTAATTTGGACTTCTCTGTGCATGCTCTTTGAGGTGGTGACCATAGACCTCCATTGTATGACTGACAGACAAGAACGGTTTGACCTAAAAATATCAAAATTGAAACTACTGCGGAAACAAAGACACCTTCATCTTGGATGCCCTTGAGGTAAACTAAAACATACCAAAAATTAATTTCAAAGTGAACTATCCCTTTAAGTCATCAATCATCTAGATAGTGTTTGACAGGGTTAATGGCTGTTATCTGCATGCAAATCTTTAATTTAAATACTCCTTTAAGGCACAGAGGGAGGAATTCACTAAGACAGAATATGTGAAATGCAATGTAATCTCATTATTGTAATTGAAGCATGGCATTTCATGAATTAGCTTGCGAAAATGTACTTATTATGAGATAATGGTTTTAAAAAAGCATTAAAATGCTGAAGGATGTGCTCTACCTTCCCCGGATCTTCGCCACATGCTCGGAGATGCAGGTGTGAATGTCGGAGTTCTTGCGGTAAACCTCAGCAAGCAGCTCACCAAAGAAGCGGTTGTCCATCTTGGCGACGGGTTCCACCTCGAATACCTCGGTCTTGATCTCAGACGAGAAGCCATTGTTCATTTCCCTCAAATCCACAACTTCCTCATGAATGCTTGAGCTCTCCGCCAACTCCGACTGGAAAAGGGCAGGATGTGAAGAGAGGATACTCTGAGCATGAGTGCACAGCTTTTATTGAGTTACATGAATTTTATCAGATGTTATTCTGCCAGTTTAATATTAAACAAATCAGCTACAGGATCAACACTGCTCTTCCTTGACGCATGCAAAACATAATGCTTACATAACTGTTAGTATGTCAAAATGGAGGAAACTTTTCAAAGAAGCAAACAAAATATGTCTAAGCGAGCTCAGAAATGAGGGTTAACGTTTACAAGTATGTGTTACATTCTTTAAAGTAGATTGTGAGTGATGCATACTACGAGAGACAGTCCACACCTCGATGAATAGTGAGTTAAACCCCACACCCATGTGCATCGATCCAGACTTTTCTAACAATACACTTAAAAGCAGAAAACAAAACTGCATGCTGGGAATTGAGTGGACCATAAAGGTACAAGGCCTCCAGTGGAGCGGGAAAAAAAAGTCATTTCCAGCTACTGAAGCTTTTGATGGAAATATTCATCCGTCTCTATGCAAATTTTGCATTCTGTACATTGCCATCTGCTAGAAAGCATTAGTAGTAGTACTAGAGGAGATGCACAATATGATATCGGCCAATATTACCATTTTTAATTATCTGCAATTGCTCTGATTTTTCAAAGTCAAATTGATTTGCATAGCACTTTCAAAACACACATTGTTCCAAAGCAGCTTTACAGAAAATCTTGATGTTGATGTTTCAAATATCTTAATGCCTTATAGTCACATTTAGAAGAAGCTGGGCGATGATGATATAGGTAAACAATTAAGTAGTTGACATTTGCTCTAAAGTATATTTTGTCTATGCGAGTATACTGTATGTAAACAGATAAATAAAGTAGTTATATATCCAACTTTATATAAAGAGCTGGGCGATAATATATAGTTACATTTTGCAACAAACATATTGCTGTCAAACCGATTAATCGCATCTAACATAAAGGTTTTTGTTTAAATAATATGTGTGTGTGTGTGTATAAATATTCACACAAACATATATATTTAAGGAAAGCTACTTTTAAAAATAATTATAGGCCAAATTCTCTGTGTTGGTGCACCCATAATTAATAGCGTTTTCATTCAGATAGATTGATATTTCTGCATTCTAAAAGCTTTAGCAGTGTGTGTGTTTCAAAATGATTGATGGCACAACATATAATGCAAGACAGAGCAGCAGTTGTCTCAATCCTCCAGTAACTTCCAGAACTCGAGGTGTGTCGGGAGTGGTCGGGCCAGATTCCACTGATCCGTGAGAGAGAATCACTCAGGGTCTGGTTTCATCCAGAATTATAACTGAACTGACACTACAAAAGATCTTTAGGTTTAAATTGTAATCATCTTGACATAAATATAAGTCATTTACCAAGATGACCCGTTTAATTTCTCTAATCAAGATTCTGGTCCTCATCATTCATTGGTTTTCAACTTTAAGAGAAATTTATCTTAAATGCATGTTTCCTCCTGTGATTCAAACTTGTGACCTTAGTGTTGGTAGCACCATGCTCTACCAGAAGAGAAACTTGAGCAAGTATCCTACACGTGTCTCTGCTCTGTCCCATGCATTCAGCAAAAAGTGCATGTTTAGCAATGCAGCAGTACTACTATGAAGAGAGACGTTCGTCCAGGTGTTTGCAGGGGTCAGCGTCTGTTTTGAGAGCACTTATAGACAGACAAGTGTTTTTGACAGTGGGTGTGTCAAGCCTTGAGAACATTCCACACATTCTGTAGCAGAAAGACCAGCAGTGACGGTGTTAACTGGGTGTGTGGACTCACTACTGAGACTTCTGTGTCACGAAACCGGTTTGGAGCTGCAACAACAAAGAGCCGAGCTTGTTAACAGTTACGCGTATTACTAAAATTGTGATTTTTACAGGATTAGCTGTGCATGAGTTGATGCAGAGTTGTGTGAATTACAGAGTGCGTCTGGGTGTGTTCTTACAAGATTAGAAATCATCAATGATTGAAACGTACTTTGGACATTAGTTACTTTTACCATCTGACAAGTTGCAGCAGGTTCTGCACACCACAAGCAAGGACACATAATAGAGTTTAGTTCTTCTAGTTTCACTCAGTGACTAGAGGTAGTATCACTAGAATTAGAAGTCCAACAAACTGCCACTTAGGCCTATGCATAATCAACAAGAGTGTGCATTTAATTTTTTTTTATCACTTTAGGTCCAATTCTCAGTATTAACTAGTTGCTTATCATGCATATTATTATGATATTGGCTGATTATTAGAACTTATAAAGCACATATAAATGTCTTATTCTACATGATCATATTCTACATCCCTTAATCCTACCCAATACCTAAACTTAGCCTAAACGCTTCAAAAACTACTAATAAGCATTAAATTAGGAGTTTATTGAGGCAAAAATCTCAGTTAATAGTGAGACCATAGTCTAAAGTGTGACCAAAAAAAATGTAATATATGGATTATGTCAAGAGACAATGCACAGAAGATTTCTAGTAGTTCTAGATCACCTAAACTCTCTTCTTATATGCAAATTTCATTCAGTTGTACTATTGTAACCTCGATTCCCACAGCAGGATTGAGCAACTCTGCACAAGAATGCACAGAAAGTGCTTCATTAATCTGTAATCCTAAAATAAACATTACAGAAAGTTCATAAAACATTTTTATATACTGTATATCCCACCATGGTAATAAAGATATGAAAAATACCTAACCTGTATATAAACTGTAGGGCTATATATATATATATATATATATATATATATATATATGGCAGTTTGAATCCATAATCACTAGGGCTTCCATTTGAATAATAATTAATCAAATTAATTGTATGATATGTATGTAGATTCCAAGTTCGAGTGCAAGTCTGTTCACACAGGACATGTTGTTGTTGACATGTTCCAGAAATGTACATATGGTTGAGTGGAAAAAAAGTGATACTTTACTATTACCTAATAATTACTCAAAAATAGGAACTCCAGCTTAGTGTCCCTATACTTTGATGTGAAAATAACTACATCTTATCTAACCTTTTGATAAGAGAGTTCCCAAGAATTATGAGAAGACACTACTAATCCTGCAACTGTGGAATGTCCTTTCTGCCTTTTGCTTTCCACAATACCTTACTGTGTGCAAAAACAGGTCAATGAGTGAGCCAAAAGCTTCTCTGTTCCAGTGTAACAGCAGGTCATTACTCTGGTCTACAGTGAAAGGAAGGAGGAGCTCGGTTTTCAAACTAAAGTTGTGTCTGACCACATGAAGCAAGTGGAGAGAGATACAGAGAAACTGAGAGATTTGACATTTGAATGAATGGAGGGACTATAGTTTTGTTTTTTTGTTAGATCAGTTATCTTTGGCTATTGTAAAACAATATCATTCCAAACTATTCATTAATTGTTGAATGTTCTAAATGAAAATAGACTGAAACCCTTTACAAAGAATCTTTCCCTAAACATTGCAATAATATTTTTCTGTTTATAAATCACATGATCCCGAGTCCTTCTGGTTCATTTTAGGATTTTTAAATGCCAAATTCAAATGCTCCCATGCACACAAGAACTATACATGAAAACTATTAATAAAATATTGTAATCCCTCAGAGATGTGGCAAAGAAACATGTTTTTTGCATTCAATTTTCACTCCAAGTCATTGTTTTGCAAGAGCCAAGCCTAAATCATGATCTTTTCAGAGTCAGCTGTCAAACAGTCAAATCATAGGAAAAAGTCAGGAAACAGTCAGGTAATGAGTTGAAGGGTCTAATTCAAGTTAAATTCCAAATTTAAACATTCAAGTCTTAATAATAATAATAATGTATAAAATCATAAGTACAAGCCATTTCTAAATTTTATTAAAGTCCCTGTAAAGGCAATTTCAAAAAAAAATTCTAAACACATTATAAATGTTAGAAATGTATTGCTAAAACATATTACAAAGACTGTGAACTGTGAAGTACTGAATTGTGGAGTTAGATCGTTAAACAGTTTTTCACCATTGCTATTTTCCGGATTTTCTGGGCGGGGCTAAAGCAGGGCTCGATGACGCACTGGAGCCCTTGAGCTCCTGGACACGCCCCTACTTGATGACGCACTGAGGCCACTGAGGCTGGCCGCTCCTAACAATATTATAGAGCACATTCACATCAGTTTGCCGCTCAATCGCGAGTTACTGTCAGTACTATTATTAGTAACACAGCCTACAGATTGCTAGCTACTAGCTATGCCTTCGTCACGGAAATGCGTACTACCTGGATGCGATCACCGGATCACGTACAAAACAGATCGGTGTCCTTGTTTAAATTTCCGAAAAACGATTACATCAAGAAGAAGTGGATTAATTTTGTGAAGAGCCAACCTTGATGGAGAGCTGAGGATCACCGCCAAAACCCGCCTCTGTAAGTAATCATTTTACACGGGATAGTTTTATAAACTTTCGTCGGAGATAACTGTCTGGGATTCACTGATAATCCGCTGTTACTGGTGAATGGGGCCGAACCGACTCCCGCCTCAGCCTTCATCCTCCCGTCGCGCGGACAACTGGTGCCATTCGGCAGTGCGTGCCCACCGTGCGAGCATCCATTCCGGCTGTAGAGTTGAGTGTGGCGAGTCGACGACGGCAGCTTTCCCGCGAGTGGGCGTGGTTTCAGCGCAGCCAGTGGACACGCCCCCAGCGTTTGAGAGCAGAGATTACTGCTCATTTTTTCAAGATTTTGATAGCTTATTTTATGTACTTGCTGGCTTTTTTTATCATTCAAATTTGGCTGGGTGGCTAATAACTAGAGGTGGGCATAGATTAATTTTTTTAATCTAGATTAATCTAGATTAATATTGAAATTAATCTAGATTAATCTAGATTAAAATGGCTCATTTGAATTCTCCCGAAGGCATTCAGAATATGTGTGCTACCAAATAATGACTAAAAGTAAGTCTTTGAGAATAGTTCGCCTCGCGTAGGGATGTGCATTTCTGCCAAAAATGCCATTCGACAATCGAGGAGC